CCCCCCCCAACAAACAAAACCAAACAAAAACCCAGTTGAAAAAAAAAAATGGGCAGAGGACCTGAACAAACTCTTTCCCCAAGAAGACATACAAATGGCCAATAGATATATGAAAAGATGCTCAACTTAACTAGCTGTTAGGGATGGAAATAAAAATTTCAGTGAGATACCACCTCACACCTGTTAGAATGGCTGTTACCAACAGGAAAAGTAATAACAAGTGTTGGAAAGGTTGTGGAGAAAAATGAACCCTCGTTACCTACTGGTGGGAGTGTAAACTGGTACAGCCACTATGGAGAACAGTATGGAGGTTCCTCAAAAAATTAAGAATAGAGTTACCATATGACCCAGAAACCCCTCTTCTGGGTATCTATCTGAAAAGTTTGAAAACATTTATTTGCAAAGATATATGCGCCCCTATGTTCATTGCAGCATTGTTCACGGTGGCCAAGACATGGAGACAACCAAAGTGTCCCCAAATAGATGGTTGAATGAAGAAGATGTACATACATACATATAATGGAATACTACTCAAACATAAGAAAAGATGAAGTACTGCCATTTGTGACAACATGGTTTGATCTTGAGAATGTCGTGCTAAGTGAAATAAGTCAGAAAAAGTCAAGAACCATATGATCCTACTCCTATGTGGGATATGGAACAAAGCAAGGAATGAACAAGCAAGAGAAACAAAGAGAAACTCACGACACAGACAACAGTGTGGTAGTTAGCAGAGGGAAGGATAGTGGGAGGTAGTAGAGGGTAAAGCGGGTCAAATACATGGTGACAGAAGATTTGATTTTGGGTGGTAAACACATAATGCACTATACAGATGAGGTATCATAGAATTGTACACTTGAAACCTATATAATTTTATTAACCAATGTCACCCAATAAATTTAATTTAAAAAATCAAGAGAGAAAAATGTTACCGTGCCCAGAGAGGCTTAGTGCGGTGTTTTTCAATTCCTGGTGGTGACTCACTGGTAGTTAATGAGAACAATTTAGTAGTTAGTCATCATTAAAGAAAATATTACAGTGTCTTGCACATACCAAGAGTACACTTTGTATTTTAGACCTTTGGTTACTGTCTGTAGTGTATACTGGGTACACTGTAAGATTTTTATTATGGGGACTTTGGAATCAGCCAGGTTTGAATTGTAGCCATTTAATGCCACTGTCATCTAGCTTGTTACTGTACTTGAGTGCTTCTGTTTTCTCATTTGTAAAATGGGGATAATGATAGTACCTATATCGTGAGGTGGTTGTAAGGATAAAAGAAACAATCCATGTAAAGTGTTTAGAACAGTGCCTTTAAGATAATAGCTTAAAACATGTTGGCGTTAATTAATAGGATTCTTTGGTATTTTATTTTTATAGTGAAAGAGTTATTGCATCTGCATGTTGAACTTGTGAATGTTGATTGGAGTGAATTTTTTTCATGTGCATACTCCCAAATAGTAAAATAATGAACAAAAATTTCCTTCTCTCCTCTAAATACTTCAGTATATATTCCTAAATATATATATTATGTTTCTTTAACATAATTGCAATACCATTATTAGACCTAACACAATTAACAGTTTTTTATCATCATCAAATACCCAGGCTATAATTAGTTTTCCCTTCTCAAAAATATCCTCTTACAGTTGGTGTGTCAGTATCCAAAGTCTATACATTACATTTGGTTGATTCATCTCTTAACTTTCCTTTAATGATAACAATTTCCCTCTTTAGTTTTTTTAAAACTTTTTATTTTTAACCAATTTTAGACTTACAGAAAAGTTGCATAAATAGTGCAGTGTTTCCATAAACCCTTTACCTAACTTCCCCTAATGTTCATATCTTCTACAGCCGTAGTACAGCTATCAAAACTAAGGGATTAACATGGGTGTAATACTATTAACTACATTATAGACTTTATTAGAATTTCACAAGTTTTCCCACTAATGTCCTTTTTCTGTTTGAGGATCCAGTCCAGGATACCGTATTGCATTTAGTTGTCATGTTTCCGTAGCCTTCCCCAAACTAATTCCTCAGTCTCCCCAAATGGCCTTGAGATTTTTAAGAGTACTGTTTAGATGTTTTGAGGAATTCCTCTAAATTTGGGTTTGTCTGATGTTTTCTCTTGATTAAGTTTATGCATTTTTGGCAAGAATATTACAAAGGAGATGTTGCCCTTCTTGGTGGATCATATTAGGGGCTGTATGACATCAATGTGTATTACTTTGGGTGATGTTACTACCCTTTGTCACTTGATTAGGTGCTATCTGTTGGGTTCTCCACTACAAGTTTACTATTTTTCCTCTGTAACTAATGATTATTTTGGGAGATACTTTGATACTATACAACCGTTCTCTTTCTCCTCAGACTTTAACTCATTAATGTTAGCTTTGGTATTAACTTTTTAGGGCCTAAATGGGAATTGTCAGGGTTACTTCTTTGTAAATAACTTATTAAAAAACATAAACCTCTAAAATGCATTGAACTGAGAAATGACCAATAGTAATAAATAAAAATAAATTCAAACACTAGCTGAAACGTACATAAGTATAACATGGCATCATAGATGTTGTTGACTTAAACCTTTTCTTTTGGATCATTTGTATGAATTTATTCTGTAAAAGATATAAATGAAGATGTGAATAGTTAAAAGTAATAAGTAAAAGTAAGACTTTAATGCTGTTTCATAAAAGCTTCTAAAATACTTCCTTTTGTTATAGTATTGGCAAGAAGCAAGAACTATGTATATTTAATGTTTTTAAAATTATTTACCATATATAGCTTTAATACCCATATATTCTTATAAATTCCCACAAAGTACATATAAGTATGATAAAACATGAAATTGATGAACACCTCTTTGAAACTAAAAGAAATTTTAGTTGTTAAAGGTACAGAAAATATTAGGGCTCTAATTTTTCCCTCAGATGTAGAAGCTAAGCAGTTTTATGGTGATGTAGAGGGGATGAGCATTAGAGGGGATAAGAAATTCTGCATTATTGCAAATTTTGCAGTACCTCTGGTATTCTGCACTATCCTTAACCTTCTTTCACCTCTTCTCACTTTTTGTGTGGAGTTACGAAAATTTAAAATAGTCTTAAGGATCACCCTTTGAATAAAGTAGGAGATAAATTAATTTTCTTTTTTTTTACTCAGATAATGAAACTGCAGTTTATACATTAATGCCAATGGTTATGGCTGATCAACACAGGTGAGTTCCTATTTCACAAATTTCTATGTTTTGAGAAGTGTAAGTTTATCTCAATGTTGTGTACACACACCCCT